TATCGACATACGATCTTTAGCAGGCTTGCAAGTAAATGCGTCAGTTGAAGACGCTTCTATCGACATACGATCTTTAGCAGGCTTGCAAGTAAATGTCTTGTAAATGTCCTGTATGTGTAAATGTCCTCCTCGTAGTTTTCTAGACTTGAGTATCGGAAGAATAAGAACATGATTAGTAAAAAGAGGATTTCCACCATCAAACCTTTAGAAATCAAACAAAGACAGGTACCTCCATTACTGGCATGTGTGGCTATCCGAGCACAGCAAACTGGCAAAGAGTCGTTCTCCGAACTTTTTACTTCAAGAAATGTTGGCTTTCGATAGAGCATGGGAAGACCTGCCATCGGATGTACTGAATGGGTCAGTGAAGTTCGACCCTTTTGAGGATTGCCCTTTGGTGAAACCAATCTTAAGATGGGGAATTGTTTTTCGAGTCCTCTTTCCTAAGTAATTACCTTAGTGGAAGAGTCTAGACGTCGATGACAGGCTCTAAGACTAGGAGTCGTGGGATCGAACGATGGAAAGTGCGGACAATGCGGGAAGGAGTGCTTCAGAGAGAAAGCTGGAGAACGGGTGAAGATCAAAGGACGTGGCGGCCTCTACACGCACAAGCCAAGATACTGTGTGGTCTGCTCCACTTGGTTTTGTTATGGCAGGCTAGCTCAAGTTGGATTTTTTTTTATTGCCAGGCGATTAAAAAACCATTTTTTCGAGAATTTTCCTCGAAATTTCCAAATTCGAACTTCGTTGTTGTATACATTAAATCATCTTTCGTTTCATCAAAAGTCAGCAAACACTGAGTCTCAGCCAGCATTCAAAAAGGCCTGACGACCACAGGCGATACCACTTGAAGGGCATCATGAATGAAGAGGATGATGCAATAAAGCGGCAATTAGATGGTCTTTGATATCTTTTGAATGGGTACTGCGAGTGTGTGTCCGTAATCTGGTGATCTGAAGGAGTCCATCATAATAAACACGACCTTCTTGACTGGAAAATGATTTGGTCCAGTTAGCAAATACCGGAGAATGATTTGTTTCGAATTGAGTGTAGAACTATTCTCGCATCTAATTTGGCGGCTACTGCAAGCGGAAGAAACTGAAGACCATTGCAGCCAACGAATCCACCAAGTTCGCGTCCTACGTCTGCAGTGGGGCAAGCGAAAAATCAGAATTATGAGAATCTTGGACGACTATGTGGTTCATATTTACCATAATTGAATGAGCTCAACACGTTGTGATGGCATATTCTTTTACTAACTATAATTGAATGAGCTCAGGCACGGTGTACCTCCCTCAACGGAATGTTAGTCCTCGTATGTTGAAAGTTCATCCCTTCTGCTCTTGCGCGCAGTACAAGCAGGAAGATAAAGGTTGTGTGAGTGAACAAGAAGGAGCGTATCTCGTTTTTGAGGACGGCAGCCAGGGTTTTTTTCTGAAGATTGATGTCATGATCAGGTCTAACAGGAACTAGCACCGATGACTGCGCTGCGCTTTTTAAACGGAATAAAAGTCGCTATGTTGCTATGCCTTGGGATGCTGGGAGCGGTGGCGTCCTAAAAGATCCAGCATTTTTTGCCCTGCTCAAGCAGAATGCTAGTACACCCCTGTGAAGAGAAAGGACACCTATCAGTTGTAGAACTCGTTAGTACTAGAGCATGGTATGGGTTGAAGGAGTGAGGAGAGGTGAGGGTCAGAAGACAAGCGTCAGATAAGGAGAAGAGGTAGTAACTGAAGGTTTTGAGGAGCAGGGGTTCTTTCTAGAAGAGCAGTGGTACATGCAGGTGATGAAGAGGACAAAATGGAGGTAGTCCTTCTAGAAGAGCAGTGGCACATGCAGGTGATGAAGAGGACAAAATGGAGGTAGTCCT